ATACGTCCTGATACGTCTAAGTACGACTTTGATAGGTGACACGTACATAAGCATCCTGTCTGATCACCTGCACCCATTCATGTCCTTTGTAATCTCCACGGACTTTGGCAATTCCAGTAGGACAGTACAACAGCCAACACGTCCAGAATTGCTACGGAATGGCTGCAGGAACTCTTTTATGAAATTAAATACTTTCACCGACCATCAAAATCCCCAGACATGAATATTATAGAGCGAATCTGGGATACCTTGCACTGTGCTGTTCAGGAGAGAATATACAATACACTCCACCCCTAACTCACTCATAACCATACCTGTAACTTTACGGGACTATATGGATAACCCATGTAGGACTCTCTACAAGTGATTAGCATAGAGATATAGAGATAGAGGGGTCGAGATAGATAGATAGATAGAGAGAGATAGAGATAGAAATAGGATTAATATATTAGTTATATATATATATATAGAGAGAGAGAGAGAGAGACTGAACTACCATTAAATCTCATCAATAAATACATATAAATAAATAAATGAATCATAAAAAATGTATTAAATTCTACAGGTGAGATGATTACACTCATCACGTTGTTGTACACAACGCATTATTTCTTCATGAAATAAAGATTAAATTATTCCTTTCAAGTAAACATACTTTTCACACATGCATTTACGAAGTATGCATTATTTACAAACCTATCTATCATATAAATGATATTCTATGATAATTTTTGGAGCTCCGGAACGATTAAAAAGTAAAACACTACGTCTTGAGTCTTTTTATTGCTTTTATGACCCAAACAGAACCCACGTTTCCGCCTGCTAAATGGAATTCCCGGTCCACTGAGCGACGATTGGGCGGCGTGGCGTTGCGAAGCGAGTGCCACCGGTCGGCACACTTCGTGCTCCAGGCGGCTCGTAACGCGTTTCGAGATGTCGGTCGCCTTGCACTGTGGCGCGGCGCGCTCGCTCGCAGCTGGCGAGCGCGGCTTTTATGGGATTCGCTGCATCCATTCTCGTTCGCGCATTCGCCTCGCAAACGACAGTCACGGCGCCGTATGGATTCGGGTCAGTGCAAACGAGATAAGCAAGGGAATGCTTTCTCTCGGGATGAGGCACGTTTAGTTTTCATCAAAATTGAAACATTCCGACTAGAAAAATTCCCAAACGTTTTTTCTTTGTTTGTGAATCATCGAAAGCAAGAATCAATCAAATGCAGATTGATCGAAGTATACTCGTTGATGGGCAAACCAGTAGGCAACAGTAAATTGTACACCAAGGAAAAGATGTTAAAGCGCAGAGTAAAGAGCTCTACCTTCTACAACAACTCAACCATTTCCCATGATCCACATCGCTACCAATACGACTTATGTTATGTTACTCTATGCAATCCCCACCTTTCCTATACATAACCTGTATATACGTGTTTGAAGACTTATGGTACACCCGAAAATACATTTTTAAATTTGGGTCTCACAGAGAAAGAATATTGCAATGAAAAGAAATTCGAAAATAACGAGTCTATATAATCTGTCGTCAGATTGAAAGTTCATTTGAATAACATAAGCCATTACCACACATAGCACATACTTTCTCGTACTATTTGCAAGTGTTACATAACATTATCGTACTACATGAACCTGCAAAAGTGCTTCCCATCAGTAATTTTCCACTCACTGAAATTTGAAATCAGATCCTTATAGTTAGAGTTCTTAGCACTCCATTCGCGTTCCCCCTGTACCACCAACCATATGTGTGTATTCAACCTTTCGTACTACAAAAAAGGTGAACATTGGCATTTACAAGTTCCAAAAAACAGATATTTTCATTCATATTATTTATAGTTCTACATTTAAAGTTCAGATTTCATCCATACAAAAATCTCTATCACTACTATTGTAGGTTTGTCATGATAACTTTTTGCTTGCAATTTCCGAGAATTCTTAGTTCGACGAAAATATGATCTGCGTCATTTTTTAAGTGTCCTTTTCAGTATCCAAGTTAGTATTTAAAGAAAAAATTGAAGTCGTTTTTGAGATAGTTATTGTTTAAGAACTGCTTATATTTCACGCAAAATTACGAAGTTGTTCAATGTTGTTGTAGGAAGACGTCAACTTTTTTTTGTTGAAATTTTACAATTTTCAAAACTTCAGAGATGTTATTATAGGGAGCAATTTTTGAGATACTTTTTAAATAGTCTTTGCAGCTGCATTTAAAGTAACAACGAACACCGAAATATCTGCTTCAAATTCAACTATACGCAACATCAGCCAGTTTGATTGGAAAAAGTATAAAGTTTAATGAAAATCTTATCTACGGTTTAGCCATTTGCGTTGTTAGATATGGACTGCAAGACGTTTTGCAGTAAACAAAAAAACAACAGATAAAACATGAATTTAAACTACACAACGAGTTACAGGAAGCAATTTAATAAATATAGAAACAACATTATCGAATTTTTAGTCACCAGGCCTCATAACATGAGTTATTTTCGTTGCTGACCCGACAGCATTACAATATTTTCTCTTTACAATGTAAGTACGCAGTAAGGCGAGATAAAAATATTGTTCGGTTCATGAAACACCAAATTTTTTATGACTTTATTCAAATTTAGATGATGGAAGACTCTCACAAGTGAACTGTAAAACATTAATCATTCTTTCAATGAAATCTGTTGAAAATTGTATGTATTTGGGAATACGAAGTTCTTTCGTCTATATCACTACACAAATGCTGCTTTTAAAATGAATATTTATTCAAAAGTATCTAAATACCTTTCTGGAACGAAATTCAGTTGCTGAGAAAACAACTCCCGTAGTCATTTAGATTATATAATGCTCTCGAAAGACCCCTACAATTCTCATCCACCATTTTCGAGCCTCGTTTATCGTAAATTGTATTAAAACACAATGTTTTAAATTTCGTTTTTTTTCAAAAGTTAACGTGATATTGAATTCTTTGTATACAGAACAACCTTTGTAAGATATTGTTACAACATTGGTATTTTCATTTTTGATCAAGATGTTCACATACGTACTTGAAATTGATTTTAGTCGTGATAGCAGTGAGGAGATATTTTGACCTTGTTTAAATAGATAATACTTCAGTAATTGTGACAATAATATACATTATCATTAACAATAGTGTAAATGTACTTAAATATCACAAGCTGTTGATAAAGTCTGAATGTCCAAGAATTAGGGCAATCAGGATAATCAAGACAAGGTAATAAATTAAATTTGAAAACTTGACAATTTCGCTCTAGGATTCTTTTGTTCCTCATATCCATTTATCAACTGCACAAGTATTTCATGTCTCGCTTTCACATTTCGTAACTTAACAGCAGAAATTGAATTTAAATAACAATTCACTCTTATATTTCTTCTGAATGATTCGCACTACCCTGAGGATTATTAACTAGACAAACCTGTATTACACAAGGAGAAAGTGAAATACTTTCAGACCCGTCGCTTCACGAATGAGGTTATGCTATTTGTCTTCACTATTGTCCTCCGTCATCGCAACGTTTAACACAGTCACAAGCAGGTTGAAACGCTCCTGTTCCTGGAAGTATAGGATACTTCGATCGGGCTCATTTATGTGAATTTTTAAAATAATTGTCCGGTTTTTAGTTTCGGTTCGTGAGGTACAAAATTATTTAGCAGTTTTTGAAGTTGATATTGATAAATTTATAGGAGATTTAATCGTGTAAAATAATAAAAGAGGGACACGAGGAGTTCGTAAAGCTTCCTCGAACACGGGTTCAAAATCAATGACAAAAGTCAAAACAAAATTTACTCGTCTAAAAATAATTTTTCTTAGAACAAATACAGGTGCTATTACTAATTGAAAATTATTTAATATTCGTCTTCGTTGCTGCCGCAAAGTTATGTACATCAAAAAGTGTTCCTTATGGCGCAATCTTCGTAGCAAAATGTTTTCGCATAGTGACAATATAATTCCTGCCTATTCTTTGAGTGTTTGAATGATCAAACAGAAAATAGAAAAATCGTCTATATTTTTTTAGTTCTTGGTTTTACTAGTGTTTTAAATTTATCTACCTTTGCTTTATTTTTTTGTTTTCTGCAGCAGGTAAATCTGGCTACAGACAGTCAAATTGCGTAAACCTACCCATCTACAAGTGTCATCGATTTTACAAATACAGTAATCATTTTCAGACCTTCAGTTCCTACAAATATAGTTCTAAAAGAAGGTTAACTCACTGTTTATAAACATAAGTCTGCATATGCCTAAATCTAAAAGGATACCACAATACGAACTTCAATAGTTGCTTCAAAAATGTATTTCCTTCGAAAAAAAAAAAACTGCGCTTCACAGCAAGACAAAAGTTTTACTGGCATTCAGAATTTTCTGAGAATGTCCACTAAGCTTCAGCTTCCGACTGTTACGTATGACTGGTGGCGGACAAGGTAAAATGTAACACGCACACCCTATGTGTAAAGGTGCCCCGGTCTCCCCTACAAGTTAGTCATTTACCTCTAAATATTTTCGTGAGCGCAATTTAAGGCAAACATTTGCATTTCTCTGCGAAGGCGTCTTCTGTTGACTCTTGGGCTCCGTTCCCTCCCACCTCACGTGTAATTAGTAAATGTAACCTGTAAAGACAGTATTGTAATGGTGCAAAAATCCATGCCGATTCTTGATGGAAATACACATTTTCTACGACATTATTTTGCACGACATTATGACTGGTTGCCTGTATGTACGACATACTGTCTGTCTGGCTGCCTGTATACACGGCAGTCAATCTGTCTGAAAGCATGATCGTCAGTAAAGTCTGTCTGCATGCATGACAGTCTATCAGTCTGTCTGTCTGTATGCATGTCAGCCAGTCAGTCTGTCTGTATGCAAGACAGCCAGTCAGTCTGTCTGTATGCAAGACAGTCAGTCTGACTGTCTGTCTGTATGGATGACAGTATGTACGCATGAGAGTCAGCCTGTCTGTACGACTGTCTGTTGGTCGGTTCTGCACGGCTCACCTCCATGGCCTTGCTGTCCTGGTAGTAGGTGCGGTCGAAGACCCAGGCGTCGCAGCGCCGCGTGGCGTTGAGGTCGTCGAGAAAGGCGCAGGTTTGGGGGCTGCCGTCGGCGCCCGCCGGGACGCGCGCGAGGGCCGCCTCGTCGCCGAAGAGCGGGTGCGAGTCGTTGTCCACGCCCGGCACCAGGCAGCGGTGGTCGGGCACGGCCGCCACCGTCACCAGCGACAGCATGTGCACGCCGGCCGTCATCGCCGCCAGGATGTGCAGGAGGAACTGCCGCAGCTGGTAGCGGCCGAACTCCCCTGCGCACAAACACAACGCGCATATTTCATTAATATCTCGGGCGGCACTCGAGGTCGAAGTTTGGGCATAAGATTGATTAATTGATTAAGTGATTCCGGGCGCGTCAACGCCTTAAGACGTTAGTTCCATAAGTATTTATTTTATTTATTAATAGGTAATTATTAGAAACAAATTAGCTTATTTGATCCTATGTGGGTAGGCCGAAGGCCATTAAGTCATTACAATACCAACATTCTTTCGCGTTCTAATCTTTCGAATTCTGGTATTCACCCCAAATGGTCTCTCCATTGCATCAAAGCCGCGGAAAAGAGACCACAAGGTACGGCTCAGGATAAAAACCCTGAAAGGGGAAAACCTGCCGTCAGAAGCCGAGTACATACTAATCTATCCGACGTTTATTTTAACTATTTATTTTCTGGCGCGAGCGTCTCGCCGTCTCCTTCCAGGCTTGGCCTTCTCAGCACCTGAAATCAAACAGCGCCACAGAAGATCGTCCGCACCAACGCCTCTGCCCTTATATTTTCGATCTCCCCTTACCTAGTTCCATAAGTGTAGTGCATGCTTTCCTTGGTAGGTGCCGGTCGACTTCCCCCGCCGGATGGCGAGATCCAACACCGACCTACCGTTGGCTAGCGGTGTTTCCCACAACAATGTATCTCTGACCAGCGGGACACCGCCCCAGCCGGGATGAGCTCTAAGCTCCTGACCGGCCTGCCAGCATGTGTGATAGTGTAGTGCATGTTAGAGTGCGTTAGAAGGAGATGAGGATAGGAAAAAGAGGAGGAAAGAAAGATCGGTATGCGGCCCGTATACAGGGGTACTGCTCCGACATTTGCCTGGTGTTGATCGGAAAAACCGCGGAAAATTACCGACCAGAGCAGCCAGCCGGTAGAAGTTTCCTCCAGACAGCGAATGAATTCGACCTAGCCGACAAGCTAGTGTCGAAAATCCTACCAGCGTCGGAACCCGAACTAGGACCTCCCACTTAGAGGCACTGCAGTGACATCAGTTGATGCCCTCAGCCACCTGTTCCGGTTGCAAGGCCAAAAATTCATTAAAATTAATAGATATGAAGTGAAAATTTTTTTATATTATTTATTGGTTTGTAAAGATATCAACATACAAAAGTTGGTAAGAGTGTATCAACTCGTAAGAAAGAAACAATTGAGGGATGTCGCATCGGTTGCTTTGGACGCAAGTTTATTTGAAGGAGAGACTGACCCAGGTTCGTAAGAAATGGATGTGTGATTGTAGGTCGAGATATTTTAAGTGATATTCTGGTTTAAATACCCAAATTCTTCAAAAGATTAGAAGATTTCCAAGTTTTTGAGGAAGGTATTTAAGAACATTTATCGATGGTTCTATTATAGAATACGGAACAAGATATCCGCAGAAGCGCAGCAGGTAATACTTTGTCAATTGATTGTGGTAACCCGAATTCACGAACAATATATTTTCTTTGTGTTGGTACTAAAAGTGTTTTATTTCAAATTACCTCATGCGAGAGGTGAACGAACAGCGACGTTGGGTAAGGAAACCACCGGCAGCTGAATTTATTGGAGATACTAACGCTCGCAGGCATTTAAGGGTCCTTACAATGTTGTGGAACATGAATTCATTAGATGAATACATGTTTTATCACCACCACCACCACCACCACCACCACCACCACCATCATCATTATCATCATCATTATCATTATCATTATCATTGTTATTGTTATTGTTCTTGGGACGTACGGACGAGTGGACTGACAGTCCATATAGTCTAAGAAACAACTTTTTCCGGATCAGGTACCCAGAAAATGTGTATTTCCTTCAAAAACTCAACACGGTTTTTTTGCAGCTTTTAATGCTTTCTTTATATGCGTAGGTTGCATTTACTGAATACACTAGACAGTAAAAGGAATTGTGCAGTTCTGCAAGACTCCTTTGCAATTGTGGGGATAGCGATGTCCATCGGAAGGTCTCTAGGATGCATGTAGAGAGAGGATTAGATAGAAAGACTCAAAACCGGTTTGGATTCCAACATGATGTGTACAGTCGCCCTACTAGAATGGAAGGGAGAAACTACTGGAACTACATCACGGCAGCCGACCCTAGAACTTTCGTCTACGAGTTAGCTAGTGCCGAAAATATGCACTCGATCAGAATAAGGACCTCCAGTTCCACAAAAAATTCAGCTGCGGGCATATTCGCTTAATAACGCAAGCACATTAGGTTATTATTATTATTATAATTATTGTTGTTATTATTATTATTACTATTATTATTACTATTATTATTATTATTATTATTATTATTATTATTATTATTGCAGCAGCATTAGCATTACTTAGTATTCATTGAATACTAATGAAAACGTAAAAAAATATAATAATAAGATCTTTCCGAAGTGTAGCAGTGTGTATGTGCCTACCACTAATATTTTCGACGCAAGAATGTTAAAATCCTGAATGTCCGCTAAAGAAGATGAGAAACGCTAGCTAGCTAGGCAATCCATCATACACCTAGGTAAGCTTCCAAGAGATTGTGTCAATGGCAATATTTACTCATTCATTTCATGCTGAATGACGGGACTACTTACGTAATGTGGTCAGACCCCAACCATTTCGAAGTCCATTCTCACGCGTGCCTGACTGTACTAGCAAGCACTCGCAGATAGAAAGGTGAAGAGAGAGGCAAAACATTTCATTTTGAAAGTCGTGATTACCGAGATAACCATGGTGTAATAATTCTGAAAAATAGAATTTAAAGGCGACAAAAATTGTCAAATTCTTAGTCTTGAACAAAAAGTAAAATGGAGAATTTTAGTAAATAATGAAATTTTGTACGTTGAATCTTTCAAAACAAATAATAATTGAAGTGTTTTAAAAACGTTTTCTCGGGATGGTGAAATAACTGTATTGTATGTTCTTTCTGATTCTTCCCGATTTACTTGTGATATTGTCGAATATTATTTAACACATACCTTGCCAATCCCAAAATAGCCCTATAAACATAAAGAAGCTTTTCTCGACCCATGAAAACTATTATAAAAGGTCCACATGAAATGCCCTCTACGAACGTAATTACTTGCGGAGCGCTACGTGACTGTCCTAATGTGAAAATGTGGGTCGCAGGCAATTCCTGGGCTAGATCTATGGCGTAGCGTAGGAGAAGGCAAGGAGCACGTGGAACGGAAAGGCTGCCACACCACTCAGGATAATCGGCTGAGACGTTGCCTCGCCATTTTCAATGCCCACGTCGGCGCGCCTGACTAAAGGCATTAAATGATAGGCCACAGTTTTCGGAGATCAAGTTAATAAAGAAAAGAGTTAATAAATAAAAGGCCAAATTATAGATAAAATATTTCTACATTACATTTATTAGTTGAATGTTCTTCACACGATTTCTTACGAAAAACTTAAAATTCGATACTGACTTCTATTCCACTTCTTTTAAATTCTTCTTCGCAGACATAAAATTATTAAAGTATTACAAAATTAGAAAAATTTATATAGTAGTGTAGTTTTCTTATTGTAAAAATTCACGATGCTTGTGTTATTAAAGGTCTTTATCCCTATACGTAGAATGTTATAAAATGCTAAAAGCCAAGGTAATGTAATGTAAATCAATGTTATGTAATATTGTAAACCAGGTTGTGATCGCTTGTGAGCATGCAGTTACACAGCGACCTAAAATAAATTTGAAAACGAAAATAGCTAAACCCCTTTGAGAATATACACTTCTTAATAAATGAGTAAAATAATATTTACTTACAGTTACTTGGAAAATTAAAAGATAGTATGTCACGCAATTCGACTGGCCCCTTATCGAAATATTTCTCATTCTGTTTAAAATTAGTAGCTCATTAAGCGATTTGAGAAACAAAAGCCAAACTTTTAAATGAGAACATTAAATGCAAAATGGTTATGGAACGCAAAAGTTTAAAAGGCTTCAATTACTTTAAGGTTTTAAAAGTAGTTATCTGTGAGTATTTTGAGACAACATTCAAATATTTTATTTTGTTGCTTGCATTAATATGTTATTTTAGAAATTATTTTTTGAACCAAATTTAAAATTTATGGTTTTTACCATTAAACTGACTTCAGATATTCATTTTTTATTTCCTAATTGCATGAGATTCAGAGGTAAAAGGTAGGTTTTAATTTGACAATTGATTTTTCCTTTTTCTGATTTCTTTCGTGAAAGCTAATTTAAAGTATATTCAATATAATACAAAATGAAAAAACGTGAAGAATGATAATTTCCTTTCATGAGTTCAATTTATAAAGACTGTCGTTAACATTTCAGTTTGAGGTTTAATGTTCCTTACTTTTTATTGTCAGCCAAATAAACTTGAGGGACATTTTTCATTACACATTTCACTAAAACAATGAAATGCGATAGTGATATAAGATTATGTAAAATATAAATTATGGCTTTTTTAAATTCAAGAGATATAGGCACAACTTTGTTTTTTTAATTAATTCCTATACATTTCTTCAGTCTGTGATAAGGAGTGTGAAGAGAGAAGTTGATACATTTTCATATTACGCAATATTTCACAACGATATGATCAAAAATTTTAAATAATTTTGAAAATTTTAAAATGTCGCAACGTAGGCTACCACGAGGATTTTGACACTAGTTGAGAATACTAGTTGTTTCGTCTCATTTCCTTTCTTCTCGACTGCTCCAATTCGTGTGTCTCTCCCCGTTGGGTCATTTCGTTACTCCCGCACTTAGCGCCACAGGTTCATTGGGCGGCAATTACTAGATCATAACGAGCGAATCCTCGCGAGGACAAAGCGTTCGCCATTGCGATGTGCGTGTGTGTGTGTGTGTGAGGACGGTGCCTTGATTGGGGAATGGGCATTTCCTTGGGGCCCACGCAAGATGCAAATGATTAAGTAATAGGACCCGCGCCTCGCTTCGCTTCGCCTCGCCTCGGCTCACGCAGATGTAAAATTGGAGCGGCAGCCGGGGCCGTGTGCCATTGTTTGCTGCTCCGAATG